AAGTGCAAGTGCTTCATTTAAGGGGGAGAAAAAAAAATCGAAGGTACAACTACAAAATGGGGAGCAACCAATTAAACAGCAGTACAGCCAAAAAGGACCTGATGGTTATGGGAGATCACATACCAGTGTTAGTCAGCAATGTGATGGTATTGCAAAAAGAGTCCAATCTCATTCTGGGATGTTTTAAAAGCAAAGTTTCATGTAAGACAAGGAGGCAAAATTATTTCACTCCGGTCAGTACCAGTGAGGCTGCGGCTGGAGTTGTGTGTCCAGTCTGGGGCAGTGATCTTTAAGGCCCCTGCCACGTATTACATCTGTTACACCATTAACTTGTTAATCATGCAATAAATTTAAACCAGCCACACATGCAAAGTAATTATTGCACCATAAAAATGTCCACCCAGCTATAAAGAGAGCCAATGGGCTACAAAGACAGTACTTGAAAACCTTTAATGATATATATAGCTGATTTCTATCCAGCTTCAGTTTGAACGTGTGGTGGGGCCCTAAGATGTTTACAAATTGAAGAGCATCAAGAGGAGAGGGGGAAGAAGGATAAAAGGGTTTGAAAATCTGATTCTGGAAGAAAAGCGGAAACAAACTGGGTTTGTTCAGCTTTGCAAAGATAAGACTGAGGCAGAGGTAGCCACAATAAACCATTTCCAGCATGTAACATGAGGGCTCTAATTCCAGTATCCATCAAGGATAGAATTGGGATGACCTGTTTGATTTGCTGCAAAGGAGATTTAGGTTAGATACTAGGAAAAATGTATTAATGCTTAGTCGAGCGCTAGAGTGGAGCTATGGAGCCCCCATCACTGGAGGCTCCAACGAACAGGTTAGGGACAGCATAGATTTACTTCATCCTGCCTCAGAGCTGGGGGATGGACTAGGTGATTTCTTGAGGTCCCCTCCAGCTCCACCTTTCCATAGCGCCCCCTCCATGTTAGCTCCCGTAGTGCATAGCAGCCAACCAAGAATGGGTCCCAACCGTATGTATGCAAGTGTGGAATAAAAGAAAGTTTTTGTCCGAAAGACTTTGCATTTGAACTAGACCAAGGTGAGCAGCTGGCGTTTTCCCTAAACGATCTATGGCTGATATCCTAGTTCCCATGTGAAGCAAGCAGAAAGGACAAAAGGTGCCTTTAAAAAAAACAAACCAAACTAACAACCCCAAACTGCAGGAATCCATGGCACGGTTCTGTCTTTGACAGTTAACTACTGCCAAGTTTCATGCAAACCTTTTTTTTCTTGCGTTTAGGAGATCCCTGAACAGCTGCCTCTAGATCATATCTGATGACTTTCCTGCTGCTTCAGGTGCTAGAATATCATCACACGAGTACTTTGGGCTACTGCACACCTGAGCAAACACTTTATACAGCTCCTGTATCAAGATTTTATCATAAAGCAAAAAAAAAATAATAATAATAATAAAAAAATGCCCGTTATTTAAAGGAACACGGTCAACTTAGTAAAACCTCAACCATGGATCCATCTTAAAACTATTCTAAAGCTATGGGAAATGATTGCAGAAGTCTAAATGCAAACCCAAAGTACATCAATGTCAAGGAACAAAAATGAAAGCACAGAGGCAGTGGAGTCTAAAAGAACGAGCTCAAAACGAGAAGTCATCCTGAAGGGTAGGGTACAAGGAAGGTGATAAGATTTTTCAGTCTTGTCATTGAGTTGGCTCCTGCTATTCCCCTTGATGAAAAGCCAATTGTGAGTTAACTCCTTGGGACCTGACAGATGGTATTCTTCAAAGAAAAGCGATAAAACACATGAAAAATACATACTACTAAAACTTCGGCACAACCTGGCATCGTGAGGGGAAAAATAAACAACTCTCCCATGCCTTAGATTCCCAGGCAATTTGCCAAATACTCATCCCAACTGTATACAAAGCAAAACCAGATGGAAACGTGGATGACAACTGACATATAGTGCCATGACCTGGAAGATGCATCTGACTCAGAGAAATGTGCAACCAGAGGCTCACAACGGTGCTATATTAGTTGCGTATCATTCCACTGACCCTTCCAAGCCCTCGCCACTGGGTACCATGTTTTTCAGCAATGTTTGTTTTCAGCAACTAGCAGGCTTGGATGTGCTTTCCAATACTAAAAGCAAGAGGAAGAAAGAGCAGAACTGTCTCTTGCAACAGCCGTGGCATTGGGAAATTTAAATTCTGCTTCCTTCTTACCCAGAATAATTCCATTGGGCTCCTCTGGGGGCTGCCATACAATCCGTACCGATGTCAGTCTCACCTCGGGGAACACCAGCCTCACAGGCGGCCCAGGAGCTAAAAGGGAGAACAGAGATCAGGAATGCAGATGTGTGTTAAAGGGTAGAGGTTGCAGCCATGTTGGTCTAAGGACATAGGCAGACAAGGTTCTTTGGGTAAATACGATCTCTTTAATTAGACCAAGGAAGAGCACAGACCAACTGCAGATGCTTCTTCAGCCTGACGAAGGGCATTTCCAAAAGCTTGCAAAGAAGAATTTTTTCCAACTATTTGAGCTGGTCTAATAAAAGATTAGATTTAGCCAAAGTACATCAATGCCCAATAGTTGGTCTAATAAAAGATCAGATTTACCCAAACGACATCAATGCCTAATAACTGGCCTAATAAAAGATCAGATCTACCCAAAGAACCTTGTCTGCCGATGCGTGTTAAAGGACTTACTAGTTCTAAAAGGTGTTTTTTGTTTAAAGGGGTTTTGGTTGCAGCTGTGTTGGTCTAAGGACATGGGCAGGCAAGGTTCTTGAGTAGATGCGATATCTTTTCTTAGATCAACTGAGTAGTTGGAAAAAAGTTCTTAGCAAGCTTTCGGGTGCAATCACCCTTCTTCAGGCATAGGGAGTGAACAGCCAAGACTTCCTATGCCTGAAGAAGGGTGACTGTGCCTGAAAGCTTGCTACGAACTTTTTTCCAACTACTCAGTTGGTCTAATAAAAGATATCGCATCTACCGAAAGAATGGGCTTCCAAGGGAGGTGGTGCTCTCGCCTACCTTGGGGGTCTTCAAGAGGAGACTGGACAAGCAGCTGGCTGGGGTCGTCTGACCCCAGCGCTCTTTCCTGCCCAGGGCAGGGGATTGGGCTTGATGACCTACTGAGGTCCCTTCTGACCCTAACGTCTATGAAAACTTGCCTTGCTTGTTGAAAGATTATTCTGCCCACTTTACAAAGAAGTCAGCCCAAGCAGTATCTAACCCATACTGCAGAGATGGCTGGGAGCTTAAGATGCACTACCTACACTCTCTGGGTCTGCCCATCTAAGGCTGAATTTCTCCAGCACCCTAGAAGAGCAAGTGATACTGCAACTGCACATCCAAAAGTGTTTCTCTGCACCTGCAAAAATGTGTTTACAAGGATGTTTTGACAAATGAGTTCTGACCTCTGGGAGAATTATCTCATAACCAGATAGCTGAGAATCTCTCCGAGCCAATCAGATTACTCCCCGCATTGAAGTCACTATACAACTGATTATATAGAAGAAGAGAGATGCTGAGCTACCTTTACAGAGAGAGATTACATGTCAGCTTAATCCACTTCATGCCTCTTGAAAGTGAATAATATCCTCTAACCACGTCAACAGCCCTCGCTCTGAGCTCCCTCCCGACTCTACATGTGCGTTCGGAGCACCTGTGCCTGAGCACAGGCACCCTTGTCAGGTCAGAAGCACATTAGTACAGCCGGCTGGCAGCCACTTTGCCCAGCTCCGGTTCACAAGGTGAGTTTATGCTAATTCACACATATGCAGCCGCCAAATTTCCCCTTAAGCACAAATCCCACCTGTACTGTCACTGATGATACTTTTAATTAAATTGAACTGAGAGGAGACACAACATGTTTATGTTGGGAGTACGGAGATGGAAGAACAATTTGTGTCATTTGCCAACATGCACATTAGGAGGGAACTGCTATAATAGGCTTGTCTTTGAGAAACAGCCTTAAATATTTCTCATTACATTCCGGTTTATGCAATTCAGTGAATGTTCTCTCTCCCTGTCGGGTTTTGTGACAATCATCTCCTCTCTGCCTCTTCTCTCCGAAAAAGGCCAACTCGCCACACTGCCACTGGTTTGGGAGAATGACTAAAGTAGCGATGGGGGGTTATTGCCCTCCACTTGTGAGCAAGGCACATCCTCGCTACTTCACAGAAAACATTGCAGGAAATACTCTTTTAAGTCAGAAGTCTGAACGTGTTTTCAGACCAACACAATTACTCCACTAAAGACGCTTATAGAAACTCGCAGTTATTTATTTTCTGCTGGGAACCCCTGGATCCAAAAGGGGGTTGAGTTCTGATTCTTTTTATTATTATTATTAGGAGCAATAAAAAAAGCCTCCTACTGACACATGCATTATCCTCTGTTTAATATGAAAAATGTACAGAAGCTGAGAAGCTAACCTTTAAGTGTTTGACATCTGCAAAGTGGAATAAAAAAACCCCATTTTTACTGCTGATTTAAACTTCAGTGAAATACAACCAGCAGGAACACTTTTGCCAGCAGACAAGTTAAAACAGAACCGGGGGCTAACTCAAGTCCTTTCAAAACATCAAACTGCACTTAGGAAGCCATGAGTTCATAGGAAGCATTGGAGGGAATGACAAAGGGAAGGCTACATGGTCATTTTTCAAAGGTCAGTATCTTATTCTTTTGCAGAAGTCTGGGAATGGATTACCGCAGTAGTACGCTCCACATCTCCTTCAGGTCCAATCAGGGCTAGATTTGTTTATTGCTTCCCATTACCAACAGTCTTTTTTTACTGCTATGATTGAAGTTCAGTAAGAGTACATAATTGGGTTGTAAAAACTCTCTTCAGGGTGGAACTATCTGCATCAGTTTTCGGAACAGAAGCATTTTTTTTTGGTCAATTTGGGAGGGGAAAAAAATGCTTTTCAGTTTCAGAGCCAAATGTTCAACAATGGAGTGGGGCTGATTTGTACCAGCTGAGGATCAGCTCATGTAAGCCATTCTAAATGCTACCACTTGGGGCTAGGTTTTTACACTTGAAGAATGAAAGCAGCTTTCATTTGAAAGAGAAATGCATGGAAAATATACGTCAGCGATCCATAAGCTCACCGTCATCCTTGGTTCTCTCTATGACTGGAGGAGAACTGGGCACCCCATCTCCAATCCGAGTGAATGCCAGTACCTGAATCTCATAAAGCACGTATTTTCGCAGGCCGGCCAGCAGATGAGATTGGGTGTGGTTACCTCTCACCATTTGGCTCTTTAGTTCAGAGTCCAGGTCTTTTGCCCTATAGAGAATCTGCAGAGCAAATACATAAAAGTACAGTCAAGTAATGATCAAAAGTATGAGAAAAAAAGGGTGCATGTTGTAGTTCTTTGTGGTCTTGAAACACAAAGTAATAGTTTCACAACTGCACTTTTCTGAGTGAGGTGACAAAGTAAGCCTGCCAGCATGAGCACGGCTTTGTGTAATTCAGAGGGTAAGATATGAACCGTCACTGGATACCTACGGGAAATCATTGAAACTACAAACTTGAAACTGAAAGATTATGAATGTTCAAAGACAGAGAACATTATTAATGCCCCTCCAGTTCTGCTGGGGACCATGCCCACATCTCTGATGTCTGCAGGCTGAACACTCTGCAGTGACCTTCTGAGTAATGGCTCAAGTCTGGGGCTGCCTAGTCCACAATTTTGACGGATGAGCTTTTCTAACCCAGTGAGATCAGGTGATCACACGTCTGGAAAAACAGCCCATTTTTTAACATTCCTCCAAAAGTGAATTAATATGCATCTTGTCTAGACAAAATAACGAATGGGGCGGGGGGGAGAACCACCCAGGCATCAAAGATCAGGAAAGCATGACACTTCTGCTGTGCACCTTGTAGCCTAAGATGAGACCATTCTGCTCTGGCTCAGGAACCGCCGTCCACGTCAACAGGATCTGAGTGGAGCTCACCGCTTCGGCAGACACGTTCTCGGGTGGAGCAGAAGGAACTGCAATCAGAGAATGAAAACACTTTTTGCATCATCTGCTCCATCCCCTTCCCCTCTGAGGACTGTTCTCTGACAAACATTTGCTCTTCTCTTAACCAGTTGAGCCTTAAATTTTCCTTAAGAGACCATTCCGCAGCTGAGAGACATCAGACCGTTTTTCTCCACTACTCACCCTAGCTTTTAACTTTCTTACTTTATCCCATTATCCCTAGTTCTGTTCTTCCTTCTCCTCAACCTAATTTCCCCTAATTCATGTTGCAGACCATGATGCTGGGGAACCACTAAAAATTCTGCGTTGAGGAGAGTCCCTGCTTTGGTACAAGGTTTGGTTTATTAAAAAACAACAACAGAAAAGGATACTGGGATTTAAATATTCAGCAGTCTGTATACTTTGCAGTGATTAGAACTGCGTTAATATTGGGTTAACATCAGTCTCTATCACTTACATCTCTGTTTCACACACGTTTTATTTCCCTGTGCTAAAAGCTTGAAATCCTTATGAACGGGGAGTTCATTTTAAGGTACAATCTGTTCCAACAAGAAGTTTTATGCCTGCTACCCCCCCTGTATTATTCAAAGGAAATTATAGCATTGTGTTTAGAGTTAAGGATAATTTCAACCTTTGGACTGAGCTCAGACCTCCAGATATATTATGAACTGCTTCATCCTGTAAGCCTTTTGATTAGGTTGAAGTATTCAAAATAAGATTGCTACAGGTACATAGAAGTGAAAGGTATCTTGGGGATCTGCAGGGGACTCTTTGTAGATCTTTATGTGCCTCTTTTGCTTAGGGCCTTGTTACATGGTAAATTTAGGCAGCTTCTGGAGTGCTTAACCCCTGGACTGGCTGAACATTAACATCTTTTAAGTGGTTTAAAAACACTCATCATTTGGCTTACAGTTACACCGCTCCAGGGCAGGATTACCTCCCATCTGTTCCTGTTCCATTACTGTGTGGTCACTTCCCACAGCTATTCCATCCAAATTGAAGTCCTCCAGTATCCCAGAATGCTCTGAGCTCCAAGGGGCCTAACCCTTTTTTCCTACGGAGCTCAAGTGGTGCCTGCCAGCCTGCACTCCGCCAGCTGGGCTGCTGGCCAGGCACCGCCTGAGCAATAATACACCCAACCCTTTTTTCCCCAGAGTATCTGGCAGCCACAGGGCCTTCCACCACTTCCTGGACCAGCTCTGCTCCTGTTGGTGGTTGAGTGGCAAGTGGGCATTGCCTGAACTCCGGAGAAAAAAGGATCAGGCCCCTCAGAGCAAGTGAGCTCCACAGCTGCAGCCTTGCAGGGTCAGGATCAAAGTAATTAAGATTAGACCTGGAGCCCAGAAGCCAGACCCAGAAAAGTGGGTCCAAGGCTAGAAGGCCCAGCTAGAAAAAAGGGGAAGAGGTCAAGAAGGCCCAGGCCCTGGTAAGGGAGTGATTGTACAGTAACACCTGCGAGACATGGGTACGGCTATAGGGGAGGTCAGCCCTTACGGCTACAGGTGCCCTGGGGCGCAGGCAGGCCAATAGAGCCCACCAGCCTGGGAGTAGGACCAAGACCAGCAGGGTCTGGGAGGACCTGCTGGTGGCCAGAAGAACTGGGGCTCACCCTAGGGCCCTTAGGCATCCTCCCTTTTGATCAAAGAAGTAAATCAGGGCATGGCAGGTAAGTGAGAAGGGGAGGGCACCCTAGAGCTGGAGCAGGGCAAGGGTGTCATGGTCACCAGGGGGAATCACGGCCACCACTGGAACCTGAACCTTTGCTACACCGGGCTTGAGCTTGGCGGTCTCACTCTTGGTGTGGAGCTGCCTTGTCAGTGCAACCGAAGAGCCCCCAGGAAGTTGCTTCTCCAGGTCTCTCTGGTCTCCCTAAAACTAGCACAGCGGTGGGTGCAGCAACTGGGTCCTGCCCCCAGTCAGCAAGCCTCTGGTGGCAAGTCACAGCTATGCAGGCGAAGGCCAGTCAGAGCAGGTTTTTTGCCTTACTGTGTGACTGCTCCGCGAAGCTGAACAACACTAAGCCGATTAACATTTGTGCAGCTTATAGCATAAAGTCTAACAAGACCCTAGTTTTCCAAATGTTGTTATTCAGGCTTATGAACCTCAAAACGCCACTGGAACTGATGGCAATGGAAATAGAACCGGATCCTGTTCCACCTAACAGACACTTAAGCAGATGGAGGCACCTAAATGCAATCCTATTCCATCTTGTTCGAGTCCCTGAAAATCCAGCAGCCCAGCTACTTTTGTAACATGCTGTCTTCTAAGCCTCAGAACTAAATACTAATCATTCAGAAGCAGTGAGACGAGGAAGAGCCCTCCTACATTTTGCACTGCTTTCCTGGGTATGCAGTGTGGATTTCAGTCACACTTAGGCACGTAGCAGTTGGAACAGGACTGTGCCTTTGATCATCACTCACCTGAGAGGGGAGGAAATCTAAATAGTCTCTTGGCATTTACTATCCAGCCATCATAAAACAGCTGCAAAACCACCAACATTTGGGATGTGCTGAACACCATGCTGTAATGCAATTAAATTCAGTGGCTTCTTCCCACTGCCTTTTCCCATAAATACCTGACAGGCAAAATCTTTTTGAGAGCACAATACACCTGCCAGCCTTCTGAGACCATGCACCAAGGAAAGCTACACAAGCTCACATGGGGAAGAAGGTCTGAATAGGTCCTCAATGCATTGCAAATAGGAGCACAATCTCCCCCAAAAAGGCAACAGCTTTGCCTGCCATCCAAGTGAAGGAGCAGCAATTCTGTTCGGGAAGGCTGGCTCCTAGCAGCAAGAACAGGATAATGAATATGACACGAGAATTAATATAAATTGAAAAAAGATACAACCCCCACTCCTGTGCAGTGAAGGTTAACTGCAGACACAGTCATTTTTTAAGCAATTTTCCTGTTACCAATTAGTTGGGACAGGAGAAACAGAGCGCTGTAACCCGACAATGCAGCAGACAAAAATCCGATTTTTTTCCCCCTCCCCTATACTAAAGTGGTTTTTTATCTTTTCCTAGATTTATCCCCCACAAGGATATAATTATGTTAAAGGAAAATAGATTGCCAGAAGCCATGAATGTCTTTGGATGGCTGCCATAACTTTATCTGCAGATCTTCACAAAGATACTCCCACATGAATCACTTCGGAAGAGAGAAAGAGTGGAGGGGAGAAAACCAGAGTGAGCATAAAGGAAAGGAACCCTTTCCCCAGCCACATTTATCCTCCTTGCTTCATTTTGGTGCTGAATTTTCCTTTCAGGAGAGTTTTCCTTATTTGATGAATGCCCTTTTCCTTTTTTTGGTCCACGGTCATAAGATAGCCTGAATTTCAGAAGACAAAATTTCCTGAATTTGAGGCTGAGGCCATGTTCATTATGTATTTGGGTATGAGCACGGTCAGTGGTTACTGCTAGGGGGAATCTAATGCTACCAATGTATCCTCTCAACTCTCAGTGGGGGTCAGAACAAATAACGTTCCCTTCCCACAGGAAAATTAGGAATCTAAGCCTAACACCTAACTGGCAACAGCATGTGTCAAACCTTCCCCAAATCTGTATCTGTTGTGTCTTTTTTGGCATGTGGCTGCAATACTCTTTATTTTCCGATCATCGCATTTCTATTCTAATGCGTATCCGTGTGTTTGTGTATTCCATTTAGTGAAAAGGAGGCTGAACTTATGGTTCGCTTTATCAGTCCTTCATCAATTGTCAGAAACAGATGACAATGTTTTACAAAAATCTCAAAGCTGCAAAGTAAAAGACTTGAAAAAACTGAAGCTAAATCTGTTGGACTCGTGGAAACACTGCCAGCTGTGTCACAGGACCAGAGACAAGAAATGGCAGAGGATGGTGTTTTCCACTGGTCATCAGCAAGACGTCAGGGCTTTGCAGCATATTTCCATCCTCTGCCGATTCCACGGGGACTGCCTGCCTCTGAGGAGGCCAGAACATGCCTGAAATGCAGCAAGGGGCATGCTCCTCTCTCCATCTACGTTGGGGCGGGCAATTATTTTGGGTGGAGGGCCACTTACTCAGTTTTGGCAAGCCATCAAGGGCCACATGCCAGGCAGCCAGGGGCAGATATATATTAATTTTCTAAATTTTTTAGGGATAGAATGGCCTGGCAGGCTGCATCTGGCCCCTGGGCCGCATTTTGCCCACCCCTGATCTATGTGAATGGCAAACCTCACTGCATATTCATCTCAATTTGGATTTTATTAGGGTTGTACATTTATGTCAAAGGCAGTTGAGGGTTCAGAGCTAGGTGGGTGGTAAAATAACACAGGTGTAGCATGAAATCCTCTTGGCTTATCGAGTTAGATACCATCAACTGAATCAAAGGAAAGTAGGGCTGGAAGACCTCAAGAGGTCCTCTAGTTCAGCCCCCAGTTCAAGACAGGGTCACCCCTGACTAAATCATCCTAGCCAAGTGGCTGTCTAACCCGCTCTTGAGCTGAGCAGGTTCAGCTGAGAGTCTGGCCCCACTTCAGCAATTGAGCAATGCTTTATCTCAGCCCCTTAATAGCTTCATGAAAGTCAGGCTAAGAGCTTGGTCCTCCTGCTAGGTACATGACTGTGCTGATTTTTGTAAGAGTGGCTAAGCACATCCACCTTTCTGAGAGCAGAAGCAGCCCCAAATTCCTAGGACAATAGGCTGATGTATGTGAGATGATTGATTTGAACACAAGAAATGATGGGCTAAAAAAACGGCAGTCTTGTCAAAGTCAGGTTGAATTTGTGCTAGCGCTGCGAAGGTAGCTCCTTGTTTCCCAGGATTTCATATTTTAGCTAATTTGTACCAACCTGCCTAGAAACGGGGCTTGTCATTCAGCGACTGCTTAACTCAGTAACATCCAAGGAGTTATGTAAGTTCCCAGAGCATGAAAACATTTTGGACCAATAAAGCCTGTCTGGCTTTGAAGCTCAAATTCATCCTCAACACTTGCTACGGTATACCGTATCCCCTTTTGCCTTTTCTCATCTTCCTCTATGGTGTCCTCAAGAAGCATCTCCTGGCCAAGCCCTCAGGACTGTTTCTTCAAACAGCTGCTCCTGCTGCTTCAAAACTCTTTCGAGTTGAGTACTTCAGAAACCTGGAGCACCTGGAGTGACGTGCCACTTATTGCCACCCCATGTGCTCAGCTATCCGGGAGCTAATCACGCAGCCTAGAATAAACGTGGCACCTAGCTGCAGCTTTGCTTTGTAATAAAGATTATGGCCTCATCCAGCTGCTCTGACATCCAGGGCTGGTTTAGCATTTGCAGCCTCATTTCTCAGGCTGTCAGCATGGTGTAAGTAGTTATAGCGTTGAAACCCCTCAGTCATGGCAATTAGCCTGTGCTGAGCTGCACACTACTACAGCTAAACTGTTTCTGGTACCCGAGATAGCTGGCTTAAAGGTGTTCAAGCATTTCTACATTACCAGCAGTGTGCGATGCAGGCGTAACCTATGACTCTGGAAACCAAGACACTAGTCCCAGTTCTGCTACTGATCTGCTGTGTGGCCTTGAACTGGTCATCTCTGACCTCCTTGTCAGACGCTGAGAACCCAAACTCCGGCCAAAATTAACCTAGGTCTCCAATCTGTGGAACCGGGACAGCGGTCCTTATGTACTTACTGACTTCTCTCAAAGCAATATTGGGAGAATTATGTAAAGAGTATTCGGAGCACGTAGATCTTCATATAATGGTAAATATTAGCATTATGCTCCTACAGGTAGGTGGCAGGTAGAATTTGCTTTGACCTCTCTCTGTGTACCCTATTTGGCCATCAATGTGAGGCTTGGCAGGCTGCTTCCAAATCAGATAAAGCTTTTGTTGCTGGTACAGTATGCTGTTCTGTCAATGTTTGTTTTTTCTTTTATGCCACTACATCTGGAAATGTATGGCCAAATGTCTGACCCCGAGTCGTGCCCCTGGTGGCTTTATTCTAAAAATCAAATATGGGCATCAAAGAAAATACATGGGAAACAAACAAAAATGCTAGTCCTTACAGCATGGGTCACAGCTTTACCTCATTGTGATTCCAGTTTTCATTCCCCCCCACCTATAATCACTTGCCAAGTTACATTTTTTTTTTTAGTATTGCAAGACAAAATATACACATGTAACCTTTGATCTTTAAATGCTGATCAAGAGCCCTGTAATCCCAAGATTTTATGAAATCAGTTAATCTCAGTATCTATTCTATTTCAAAGGAGTTGTTTGAAGAGCAACAGAGACAAGAAATGCAGTATCTTTTTATTATGATACAGAGTGCTTCTAAGCTATTTTATTCTGGGTCGCACTATCTCAAGCTCCATTACAAATATGTCTTGTTTAAAATACCTCTGGCAATAACTTTCCAATTACTAGCTCCTACAAAACAACATTTTAAAGAAAGATGTTGATGACTTTCTTTAACTTTTCCCCTTCTGTTGGTTCAAAGGTCAATTATTTGTATCAGCAGACCAAATCTTGCTGCTTGGAGCATCTGCAGCACCCACTGGTAATTTGGGCATGGTCAACATACGGACACACACACACAGTGGATAGCATTGCGATTGAAAACACTCAAGTTTAAATGATTATGAAAAATTACTTATATGAACCCTGTTTAAACACGGGTCACAGGAACAGTGCCTTATTTTTATTATTGAATATTTTACTGGTTTCAAGTGGGGGCAATCTATCTAATTCTTCACTTGCAACCAAATTATATTAGGGGCATCTAAGTGGGTCCATGAAATAGGCTTTATGTGAAGTTCCCTGAGTAAGAATTAGCTATTCGAGATCTGTCTTCTGCTGTTGCTACTCTACTGATCTACCAGGCTTTTTTATTGTGTTCTCAATATTGCAGAGATAGCTTTCTTCTGGCATCTAAAAGTCTCCAGACTGGTTTAATATCTGTATATGTATGCATGTAGGTATGTGTGGGCAGATATCTATCTTGAGCAGCCAATACATTTTGTGTGCTCACTTACTTGTTGCTACCTGCATAGGAGGGTAGAAAACTTGCCATTGAGCACTCAGATAACTGGTAACCATAGAGGAAAATACGTATTTTGTTTAAAATCTTCCTCAAAATTATAGCGTCTGCATGTGAATGAGTCTAGAATAGTGGTTCTCAACCTTTTTAGACTCAAGGCACCCCTGGATAGACTCAAGGAACCCCTGGGAAAATGCTAGCTCTGTTTTTGCTCTTTTTTTGATGACAGAAAAACAACAGAGCAGTTTTTAAGTTGCAAAGAACTCAGACCACAACTGTTGATTTCTGTTTGAAATCTCAAGACTGTGAATCATGTTTGTAAAACGAACAGTGCTACCACTGTGCGGCAGCCATCAACACCCTTGAAAAGATCGTAAGGAACCCAAGCTGCCACGGCAGCTTGGTTGAGAATCACTGATCTAGAGATCGCTTTTCCAAATTTAATAAATACGCCAGAAAGAGTGGTTGAAGAAGAGGACAAAATATTGCAAGCACCAAGACCCTTCTTCACAGAAGCAGATGCTCCCCTGTGACTTACCAGACTCCCGCGTGCGACCTCTCACCACGTGACTCCATGGTCCTGCTCCAATGGCATTGAAGGCCTGGATTTGCAGCTCATACTCTGTCCACTCCTCCAGATCCTCAATAGTGTATTCCCTCTCTAGCCGGTCACTGATTACCTTCATCAGCACAGAAGACTGCAGATCAACGCGCCAGAATTTTATCCTGTAGCCCACTGACTCTGGGTTACCATTATATTGAGTATCAGGGAGAGGCTGGCAGTTAACAACAGGAAAAGTGCAGAATTAGAAGTTGCTAGTCTATGCTTTTCAAACTGTACATCACATCTCTGAACTCCCACATAACGAATGTGCCATTGAGAAGTTTTTGGATAGGGAAAAAGGTTAATTCTGTGTTTTCCCTTTATTTGTTAACCAATTTTACTTTGCATGCAATATACTTGCAATTTTTCTGTGCCATGTTACCAAATACCTTGTTGGAAAACCAACAGACACACAAATACACCCCGTAGTCAATACACATGGAAGTGATGCCAATATGGGAAATTGCAGAGCTGCATGATAAATTGTGGAAACCAGTGATAAATGGCAGAGCTATGTGATAAATACATTTATCACGCACCTTTGACTGCTTCACGGGCTCTCTGCCCATTAATCCATCTAGCTGGGATTTATTCTAGCATTGCAACCCCCTGAGCAGCTTCAGACATTTAAAAAAAATTAACCTCAGCTAGAAATGTCACCACCTGCTCTACCAAAATACCTTAAAATTATAACTGCATGAGGCCAAGAATGAGCAAAATTCAGCCCTCAATCACTGAGGGGTTTTGATATGCATTAACATTTCATAGCTTTAAAGTTTATATCCTATGGGCCAGCAGGGCTAGAAATAGAAACTTCATTTTGTTGGAAAGAAGGAATTCCCAGGGGACACAGGGGACACAGAACTCACTTGTAGTGCTTGAGGAGCAGAGATTATCAGACCTTAAAATACTGACATTTTTATATACAGAAAAGCTAGATTGGGTCATTTTTAGTTGTGTTTGTGATTCCCCTGAACCCTGCATGGTAGGGTTCGTAGTAATGAAGAATCTAGCTTCGCAAGGGTTGGATATAAAATACGGGCTTAGAAGAGGTTTTAAAAGTCTCTGAAATATTCTTGAATTAGTTTTGCTATAACATATGTGGTTCCATAGAGCCTGGCTGAAGATGTGATATGCGACATTACTCGTATATGGTGAAACCATGAGCAAGTAGGACGGGTCATATTAACTGAAGATGCCATAGCTTTTCTATGCATGCTAAAGGCACATTCAGAAGTGTGATGTGATGACTCCTGGGGGACTAGAAGTGAGGTGTGGCTCCCACTGGGAATCTGGAGTCTCTTCTTTCCATGGACTACAACTCCCACCCCTGGGCCTGCAAGATTATATATTCTGAAGCTCTAATATGTTTATATACAGAAAAGCAGAGACAGCCCTTGCCCAATTTCCAACTTCACAGCAAGGTCACCTGGGGGAAAAAAAATCAAGATTGTTGAGGCAGAAGAAGAAACATTTTGGGACTGGTGATATAAAGGCACCTACCCGAAGGGAGTCGGAATACTAAAAATACAAGTGAGACAGTTTTATGGGCAACTCGGGCAGTCGAAGATGCATGCTGAATTTATTTATCAATATCTCCGCTATCAATCACCTGGATCTACAATTTATCTCACACAGTCTGAAATCTATTCACACGGATACAGTCTCCACATAGGAGATGTACATGATATATGGAAAAACTCTTCTTTCAGTTAAACTGGAAACGAGAGGCATCATCTCACGTACCAGTGTAACTAGAAACAGCATTTACAATTTTAGTTCCTTAACAGTTTATCAGTAGTGTGGGCTTTTCCCCCAACAAACAATATATTTCACCTTCCCTTTGCCATCTTATGATCAACTTTTCTTCTTATGATCATCTCCGGCTCCTTCCTAACTCAGATGCCACGTATTTCAGCATCTGCAAGTAGCAATGGCCTGTTCACATGCTTTAGTGACGTGACTGTTTTAGACACCTGAACACAATGAAAAATTTAGTACTAAGAAATGGCAAGTTATCTCATATATTGCATGTTGTCTCTGTGCATTGAACCAAATGGAGGAATTTGAGAGCCTCAAATGCCACGATGCAAATGTCTTCAGCCCTTTCTATATACAATCTTTCTCTAAGGTAGCAATATCAGTGGGGAAAGTAAAGTATGCGATTGGCACTTAGAGAAGCCTTGCGTTCATGGCAATTTAGGAAGAGTATTTTTTGCTGATGCTCTTTAGGATAAATGCTTAGAAAAGTCACTCATGAACTTTGGACCTATCCTCTGGGAAGAAAGAGGCAAGTCAGGTATCAGTGTTTCTCGCAGATTCTCCAGTTTATATCAACTCACCACCCAGCGGATCCACAAGCTAGTTTCACTGGCAGTGCGCACAGTAACACTCCCTGGTGCAACATCTGGCGGGGCCTGCAGTGTCTGGATGACACGAGATGGTTGGCTGAATGGGCTTTGGCCAACAACATTCACCTGTCTCATCCGGAACCTAAAAGCATAAAAAAACAGTGCAAACAGTCTCCCAGGTACTCCATCACCAGTCACTGGGCACAGAGGTCATCGTAGTCATCCTTTTCTCCACTGCTACCATGATGGCAAGAGTCTCATAGGTGCACAAATGTATAAATCAGACCAATTTAGCTTCTTTATTAGAAACCCAGGCATGACACTATGATGAGTTTATGTTAATTATGCCAAATTGGAGGAGGTTATGCTAGTACTAAGCGATGTCACTTTGAGAGTTCACACCACCCTGTCTGAATGTGTTGCGATGAATGTCAATACCTGGCTATTCTAGCTTCCCTGCAAATGTAAAAAAACATACCAAATAACAATACTTCCCCTCAATGGTCAATTCAAGGAAGGCTGATCTACCCCAGTGGACTGCCTTCCCTCCCTTCCTCAACAAGAATGATTATGTAATGTAACGCGGCTGCACATCTTAAAAACTATTCTGTTTGTTTCAAATGATCTCCTCCACAGCAGAGGTCCCTATAGGGTAGTGAAAGACTTAGAGAATGCCTTTTGCAGTTTCATAAGCAAATCGCAAAGAAGTTGAGACTTGCTGTAGACTTCACGCACTCATGCCTGTTATAAACATAGGAGGCATTTGCAGTTTCAGATATCCAATGTTAGCATGTAGCAACTCAACGGGCACGTCCATACATGCAAGCACGTGCACTTGCAGCAGCTCAAACAGAAGAAGTGAAAATTTGAGCCGGGGCTTTTTGCCTCAGCGCATGTGCGCAGACATGCACTTTGTTGTGGAGCAAACTGTGCCACCTGGGGCAAAATAACCCTGTCTGGCTCCTCCCAGATCTGCAGCCAGGGGGAGCTAGAGCCCAGGGCCAGCACCTGTGCTGTCCCCAGCAGTATAAAAACCTGCCCTGTCCCGGCCCCAGCAGTACAAAAACCTGTCTTGGCCAGCAGCTCAGGGTTACATGATCTAAGGAGTTTCTGGGGCCCAGGCAATTGGTATCTGGGGACACTAGCCCCTTGTGTCAGCTAGACTGCTGAAGCAGCATCCCAAATTCACTTTTTAAAATACCCCAAAATCCACATTCTTCCACAATTAGAACAAAAGAGAAAGAGAAAGAGGGATTGATCAGATGGGCAATGTTTTATTGTTATATTTACAATGTTAAAGAAATTTGGAAGCCTATCAGTGTCTCTAGCATCATAGTAAAATAAATCCTAAATATCTATATGTTTTAATGTTTGCTTTTGGGTTTCCTTATCACACTGGTGTGTGTGATGGGGGGATGTGGGGT